GTACTTAAGTTGATAAAGTAATTACGAGAGCTACTTATAATCAAGTCTAGACGATGATTATGCGTGCAACAAAGAACATTATCGGAACCGATTGGACAGCTTCTTGGAAGGGTAATTGCAATACAATCAGGATCCGCAGAGAACAGACAACTTCTCCACTTGGTTAGACTGCAGACTGCAAAGACAGTTCTGACAGTACTACTGCTGGTGCTCTCCTGCTCCCCAATGAACTCGCTATTTCCAGGAAACCAAACCGAATTCCAACAGTAAATACCCGAAAAGCGACAACTCCCTTGAGGCAAAATGGGAAAAGTTTGCATTTACTTGAGCATTTTCCAAATGGAGAGGGCAAATGTTCGAGCAAATGAAAATGTCCCGAAGCAAGACAGAAACAGACAGACTGAAAACAGAAACAGAAACACGAAAGAACTCAAACAATTCCTTTCGGGTTAGAATTTCTCATGTGAAAGTCTTGTAAAAGGTTTCAAGTTTTCTTTTATTTGATTTCGTTTGAATGAAAGAAATGTGCGATGGCATCTGAGAAATGTGCGCGAGACGTGGGCTATTGCATGTCGAAGGGGGAGTCGGGGTTACATAGCGGAGAGCATGCCAAAAAGTATCTATCAGATACCCGCGAACACTGGGAATGCCAGCTATGCAACGCATGGCGTCTAACCCACAATCCGAGGGGGTGCAGCGGGAGAGGGAAGAGAGATGGAAATCTCAGCAGAAAGCACAAAAAATCAAACAACAAATCCAAAAAGAAAGCCAGCGAACACAGGGAAACAATTAACACAATATTTATGGAAATACTACGTTCAATTCTATGACAGAAATGTATCTGTATCAGTGTATCAGTGTATCAGTGTATCAGTGTATCTTTGAAGGCCAAACTGAATTTTGTGGTCGTTAAACTCTCCACCCAGGCACCAGCCTCAGCACCTCGCTGCCTGCCCTGCCGCTCGCCACTTTCTGGCTTTCGGGCAGGGATCTCTTTGTTCGCTTTCACGAAACGGAAAGAACGGAACAACGACCTCAAAATGCGCAATAAATTTGTGCTCTTTGCCTGCACTTTGGCCAAACAAAAGGAAAGCAAAACAAACAAGACTAAAAGCAACTAAAAAGAGCTTAAATGAAATGTTAAATGAGTGTGCTAGCTGCCGTAGGAGAGGGAGGGTTTTTGGTTTTGGCTAATTACAAAATGTTAGCAGCAACAGAACGAGAGAAGCAAAATGACTGGAAGCAAATGTTTATGAGTGCACACACTCGGCATGATTGCCAAAAACATGGAGAGATAAAGAGATATACCCTACTCTATTATTGATTATATTTGGAAACAAAGAAGTCTCTCCCAGCGGAATGGGTGGGAGAGTGGCCTGCACTGGAGAGGAGAGGAACCAAGGGAGGGCCAATGTTTGGAGATACTCAAGACAAAGGAAACGCAGCGAAAGCAAATAAGATCAAGGCAATCTTCCATATGGAACACATACTATTGTACGTATATATACGGGCTATATTTACAGTCACCGTTTATCAGGTGGTATTGACTGTGTCCGCGATGCGATAAGCGTGTCACGACTTAATCACATGAATGGATATTGTTGCACGCCAGGAACCTGACCCTCTCTCTCTCTCTTACTCGAACACTGTTTGCACTCTCTCTCTCCTTACCTCCTCCACATGGGGCAAAGGAAACAAACCACAACAAAGTCTGTCTGGGAGGGTGTTCAGGGCAGGCACTTGACTACTGGAACTGTTGATTCAGCGATTCCCACTTCCCAATGGAAAGTGCAATTAACGTTTTATACTCGGAAATAGCAACAGCAGAGCTTGGATTAGATTTGATCATCCAATAAACTCTTGAGTCACGATAATTACCAAGAAAATATGATATCCCCAAACGTGGCCAGGCCTGAACATGAAAATCTAGTTCCACGAATGTGCTCGTGTGGTAGAGGGAGATTTCCAGGGAAAGGGCAAACCAGAAGGCCACAAAAAGAGGGAGCCAGCAGGGAGGGGCTGAAATGTAACCAAATTAATTGCATGCCGCGTGCTAAATTCTTTCATTCCTCCAGAAACACGAAGAGAGAGAGAGAGAAACGTGGAACATTAAATGCAGTCAACTAGTCAGCCGAAACAGCACACGAACACAGGCCGCCATATAATTATACGATCGGACATATAATGTATACTATATCCGCCCATATGTAGGTACATATATATATATATATATATATATATATTTGATGTGGTGTGGTGGATATTATCGTATAAATTAGGGAGCCATCAAAGGAGCACAGCACAGCGCTGGAAAAACATTGCATGACATGCGGGCATTTCCAATGCAATATACCTAATGAAAATTGTTGCTGCTACCCTCTCTCTCTCTCTCTCTCTCTCTCTGCTAACCAAATATGTATTCAGGCCAAGTCCTTGTTGTGGCTCATTTAACAGCTTTTGGCACTTAGAGCAGGGAGAGCATTCGCGCTCGTTCTCTGCTCTTCTTTTTTTGGGGCTTTTCATTTGTGTTTTTTGGGTGCAAAAAGTGCCACATGAGGTCAACGACTACATTAACAGGTTTAAGCCATGAAAAGTAACACGAACGCATGTAAATAATTAAACAAGGACCAAAGAGAAGTATCTGTGCAAAGATTTAACCAGATAAGGTAACCCTCTGCAAAGGTAGAGTACAATTACGCTGCTGTCTAGACCATGACTTCAGAGTCTCATTTGTGGAGCTGTTGTTGTTGGCTGAGTGTTTCGTGGAGGAAAATCTGCCAAGAACATGCATGGGTGGATGACTGCTGTCAGAAGGCATCGCTCAACGCACCTCCTCTGCTCCGCTGTGCCCTCCGCTGACAGCTCCATTGTCAAGTGGCCACTTGGCTCTGTCTGCCCCACTCTGCATGTGGTGTGTGTGATGTGTGATTTCTGGTCTTTGCCTAAGCGAAAACACTGCCAAAATGCTTTATTTGTTGCCTTAACTGCCTGAGATTCGCTCTTTTCTCTCTCCCTCTCTCGCTTCTTGTTGCTCAATCATTTGTTTGGCCATGTCACTGTGCGATACGTTTATCAACAATGCTAACTTTACGTTTATTATTTTCCACATTTTTTGACTCCTTTTTTATCAGCCAAAGTCAAAGCCAAATGTGTCAATAACTGATTGTGGGGCAGAGCAAAAGAGAAAATGAGAGAGAAATAGTTTTCTTATAAATAGATCGCGACAATAAACCTCTGGAGCGGAGCGGCGCGAGCGTTCGTTTCTTGCTATTTCCATCACCGAAACACATTTACATATGTGCAATCGCCTTCTAAACGCTGGCTCTCACAGTAATTATAATGTTTAAAGTAAACAAAGTCGAACGATGGATGGCCGTGTGCGGCGATGCGTCAGGCCCCAGCCGAAAAGCTGGCTAATCACACACAGACACAGATACACATCCAGGCACCCGCGCGGCATGTGGCAAAGTACATGGCCATGATAATGGTAATTATGAAAGAACACCACATCGCCCTCCCAGTGTGTGTCACGCAACAGAGGTGCAAAATCCCATGCCGCCCGCAATCAAATTAATTCCCCGAGAAATGTTGTCACTTTGATGCATTAGCTGCCCCGCGAGGTGAAAGCGAATCCCTGTGATTCACAATCGAGACACAGAGAGCGACTTAGGTTCTGCACAAAAATAGAGAGTAAATTGAATGGGTCGCTGCCATCTAACTGCCATCTAATTGTGTGTGCCGTGGGCAAACACGGAATGCCAATCGGGGAAAAATCATCAGAGAAGAAACAAATATTGATTGGCAAACAGCAAACAGCAAACAAAACGCTTATTGGGATTAAGAAGAGACTCAAAACTGAACACCAAATGGGGGGAAATATTTATAGAGCCGAAATTGAAATATTTATAAATATTTGATGAATATTTATCCTTCTTTCATTGCAGGTTCGAATGGAAAAACTATGAGGATTTCTCCGGTAAGTCAATCTCAATGTTTGAAGAAAATCATCCACAATTAAGCGTAAATTCTCGTCCACATTCTGCAAACATCCACTAAACATCCATTGAGTTCTGTGTACATTTTGCTGATCTTTGATCTGGTTAATTTTAGCTATTCTCTGACACTCTTTCCACTCTCCACCTAATTCTGTCCATCATTTCCATGGTGTTTTCCATTTCACCTCCCCCGTCCTCCTGCGGGTGCGTCAAGTGTTTTTCTTTCCGTCTTGCGCCTGCCGTCTTCTGTCTTTTGTTGGATTTTCCGCATGGCTTGTGTTTTCCTTGTGGCAGGCAGTACTTTGGGTATTTTGTTTGATGGATTTCCAAGTGCGTAAATCGTTTGTGATTTCTTTTCTTTAAAAGCCAACCAGAAACAACAACAACAACAGGCGGAAAACTATTTTCGTTCTCTCGGGGGGAAAATGATTAATTGGCTGTGCTGTGTTTTTGCTTCGTTTTTATGTTTAATTCTCTTGAAGGGGGAGAATCCTCTTGAGCTGAAAAGTGTCTGACTCAGCGCCACAATAATTCTAAATCATTGCAAATGGGAGATACTGCTGGCACCAAGTTTCTCGGAATACCAGATGTTCGCTCGGTTGCGCGTGCCACATTTCACGTATCCATCAGATCATCAAGGGCTCCATAAATAAATATTTGATCATTGATTGGGTGCTTGAAACATCCCAACAATTAGTGGAACATGTTGACATCGAGGCTCAAAGGGAAGTTATGGCAGAAATTACGCATACGCCAGCAACGCCCGAACGAAGGATGTGTGGGCGGAACGAACATATGGAGTGGCTGGATGGGAGGACTTGTTGCTTTGCTGCTTGCGCCGCAGCCCCCTTGACGTCAGCGTGAGCAGACATTCAATCGGGCTGCTCTGCCACTTGGCCCTGCCTGGCCTTTATCGATTTTCCACAAGCCAAGTAATGCCCCCTGCCTGAGTAATGGGAAAATTCATGGGAAAACCCCCGCAACAGTTACAACAGAGGCACTCACCTTTGTCGAGGCTTGCATTGCAGAACTTGAGCGCTTCGTCCAGGAGGTTGAGGTGCATGCAACTGCTGGCCTTCTCGCTGATCTCCTTGGCCTGCAGATCGGGACCCCACCACTTCTCCACCAGGCGTCGCACCAGGACATCCGGCATGAACTTCATTGCGGAGGAGGAGCCGCCGCCCGAGACATAGCCACTGATGATGCCTGCGGCGGCCGCGGCCGCGGCCGCTGCCGATGTGGAGGCCATGGTGGTCGTGGCTGTCGCTGTGGTGGAGGCCACTGTGGTGGTGGTCACTGTCATGGGAGCGGCGGCCATCTGGCTGGCCATCCGCAGGCCGTAGCCCATGGGTGCGCTGGCGAGGCTGAGGCTCTGGCTCTGGCTCTGGTGCGTGGACGCGGCACCGAATCCCGCGTAGAAGCTGGAGCCGGCGCTGCTCGACGTCGTGGTGGTCAGGGCGCAGGTGGCGGGCATTCCTCCGCCGCGCGGAGAGGCGTCCTGGGCGCGGGGAAACTTCACCTGGCAGATGTTGCACTGGGTGATGGTCTCGCAGCACTGCCGGCAGAAGGTGTGCCCGCAATTGGTGGTCACCGGACAGCGGAGGATGTCGCCGCAGAGCGGACACAGGAGCGGATCATAGTCCTCGGACAGGGCGGGACTGGGTACCATGGCGCTCGCCAGTCCCAGTCCGAGTCCCTCGCCTGCTGCTCCTCCCCCTCCTGCTGGCGTTCCTTCGCTGGTGCTCTGCTGGTAGTGCAGCCAGGGGGGCATCATGCCCTGTGTGCGGGCACTGGGGCTGCTCAGGGGCGAGACAATGCCGCCCATCTGGCGGATGTGGTTGGTCAGGGCGCTGGCCAGGGTGCCCAGCTTGTCGAGCGGCACGTGGCCGTCCAGCTGCCGACTGGCAATCAGCTCGTAGACATCGAAGGCCTTCGAGAGGCTGCCCACCTTGGCGAAGGACTCGCCCAGGAGGTATGACAGATTGAGGGAGTTCTTACTGTCGCCGTGCGGGAGGTAGCACTGTAGATGGCTGTCGCCGCGGCACGGCAGCGTGTCCTGCACATAAACATGCTGTTGGTTCTCCTTCCGCAGGACCTTGAGCACCCGCTTCTTGGAGGCCAGCGAGGGCTTCAGGCAGTAGCCCTGCGACAGAGGCATCTTTCCCGTTGTGGTTGCAGCTACTGCTGCTGCTGCTGCTGCGGCTGCGGCTGCGGCTGCGGCTCTCTGCTGCGGTTTCACCTGCCTGCGGTCACGTATGCCCAACGGCCCCGCCGGATGGCCGGGTGGGGGGTTGCTGCAACAGTTCTCGTTGCTCACGAAGTTCCTGCTCACCTTTCGCGTTCTCTTGCCCTTGTACGGAAAGACAGTGGACATAATCTACACGACACGATTCTATCTCTATCTATGTATCTGGGGATATCTCTCACTTCACATCACTTCACTTTGATTATGCACAGATCAGAGATATATTCCATTAATTCTTTTTATGTGTGTTTCGATTATATTTCGTTGGAATAATAATCTTTTGCGCGTGCGGTGCTCTGGGCTGTTTTTGTGGAACTGAAACACGAAACACGAACTGAAGAAGAAGTTTTGACAGCGCCAGCGACGGCAGCAGGCATCTGAAAACACACAGAGAGGGAGAGAGAGAGAGAGTGAGTGTGAGAACAAAGAGAGGACATGAGAAAGAGAGGGTCGAGCGAAGAGAGAAGAAGCAGATATGTGGATAGATAGGCAACGGCGGAGATTTACGTAACGCTCAGAAAAACAAAAACAAGCAAACAGAAACTAAAAATGAAATGAAATCAAATGCCTGATTCTCGGAGGCAGCTTTTGATTCTGTTTTATAATTCACACATACATATCAGTCCATACACACACACACACACACACAATACCCTCGCAGCAAAGAGAGAGAACAAGAGAGAGAGAGAGAGACATTCTCTTGGATCCTCTCTGTGTGTGTCTCTTTTGATGCCCATTACTGTACTCTACTGTATCCACATACATACATACGTACATGCATATGTATTACTTAATCAACGGACGACTGGAGATTGGAGACTGGAGAATGTTCCGTATGTCCCGACGGCCCCTCTGGCAGCAACATCTTGAACGTTGACTATTTTTCAGCCCCCCTATTCACGCAATTATATAAATTCTTGTAGTATGATGGAGTTCATTGAACTTTAAACCTCTAGCTGGAGGAAGGCTGGCTCTCCGCTCAATTAAAAGTAATTACTAGTCTCTCTCTCTCTCTCTCTCTCTCCAGCCGATAGATAGCCGTAGAACTCTGACAGTTGTCGCACATGCTATTACATAATATTATAAAAATTAACACTGAATCCCCACACACACACTTATTCTCATGCTCTACGCCGCCACCACTCATAGGGCAAGAGCAGTGATAGAGCCGGAAGAGCGGGCCAAGCGGTGGGCAGACTGACGCGGACGCTGCTCCAAGTAACGAAATCAAAATCATCGACACATTCGAGCACACTCACACACTCAGATGCAATCATATCATTTCAGTTGCTCTCGCTCTCGTTCTCGCTCTCGTTCTCTTATGCCTGTCGCTCTCTTTCACTCTCTTTGAGAATACATTCTCGTTCTTCCGTTCATTCCGTTATATCTATGGTGTGTGGTGTGAGTGTGTTTCTGTTTATGGTTCTCTTCTCATTCTTGCCTTTCGCTTTGCTTTGTTGTTTGGCTTGTGTTTCGCTTTGGTGACTGTGCGCACGTTTTGCTTCCACGTCGTTCGTTCGTTCGTTCTCCTTCTTGTTGTTGCTGTATCATGAAGATAAACAATGCCGGCATAACACAAACACAATGCTCACTGCCATGCAGAGAACAGTTTTCTGTCTGCCTCTCTTCTTGTTGTTGTTGTTGTTGTTGCTGTTGTTGCCGTCTGCCTCCCTTTTGCCTTCCTTCCCGTTCATTCTGGTTTTGTTATGTAAACAATTTTTTCGCTTTCGCGTTTTGTCTTTGTAGTTATTTGTTCGCTTCTTTTGGTTTTACTTTTAATATGATTTGTTTACATTTTCGTGAGCGCAAATGCAAAGAAAAAAAAACTATGCAAAAGACAATCAAAGTGTGCCAAAAAAAATGAGAGAGAGAGAGAGAGAGAGAGAGAATAACGTAACAAAAACGCAGAAACCGAATTGCGTGCAAATGAACTTTTTAATTTCTTTTGATTGTGCTCTCTCTTTCGGTCTTTCCGTCTAGGTCTCTAGACAGAGATATGTATAAACATTCGAATCAGACTTTAGCATAAATCTCGTTGTCAAGTAATGCTGAAATGTCTGAATAAGTTGGTAGTAAGCCAAGAAAATGAATTTATCAAGGGTGTTTTTGCTTTATTCTGAACGAAGACGACATACAATACGATCTATGCGAGATCGAGACACGACACGAATACTTTTATATCAAATTTATATTCGGAATCTGTGACATGTGCCATGTGTCTGTCATTGATGCTATTACACAAATTCCTGCGAAACTTTGCCGTTTCCCTGGCAAAGGCGCACGGCCTCCACTCTCCTCCTAGAAGAAGAAAACATGTGCCGAAGTTGATGAAGCTTCTCTAGGTTAATAGTTTCCCCCTGATATCCTGTTCATTTTACTACAAATTTCCTGCTTTCTGCTTTCACACGAACCGACCTTTAAGAACATGCGAAATCCCTCAACCACTTGTAGATTGTTTCGGCACAAAACTCTGCCGTGTCACAAACTACGATTCAGTTTTAAGAACCAGTTGAAGTAGAATACTGTCCACAGATATATTTACATACATAGAATTTATGGTATGGACTGGGAAGGGGGGAGCAGGCGATATCAGTTGGCATTGTGACGCACTGGCACACTAAACAACTTGGCTTGGGTGGCTGGCACTCGGTTTCAATTGTTCCGGCTTGGCTATGAGTTGGGTTTTCCTTTGCGTAACTGGAAATTATGTATACGCCTCATATAACAGCCAAAGAGCATGTGTGTCTGTTTGCGAGTGCAAATTTAAATGTAATTGTAATTGTCCGCGCTGATAAACGTTCCTAAATGAACAGCAAATACGACCTACGCGTGCTACTGTACTGTACGCGGGATCTACACACATAGAGATACCCCTGGGGTGCCAGTATATTGCAGTCTTTGCAAGTATTATGCAATGCCGCCAATCATATTTGAGGACTGCTTTCGCTATCGCACACAGACAATATGGCAGGGGGACCACTTTCTAAGGTCTGCCGCTCCATTCGATAAGAGATTGCATCCGATAACACTGGGAATCAATTACATTGCATAATCATTACGATTATTGGCATAATATTTGCTATTTGCTGAGGCAATGCTGAGGAACCAATGCCAGCACCGTGTGGCCCATAGCTGCTGATTCGATTAGTGAAGCCCCAACCCCGCCATCAAGTACACATTTCAAATGTATCTCTCTGTCTCCGTCTCAAATTGATTGAGTTAACTGCAAGTGAGAAATGTAAAATGGATTTTCCAGGTTCTTTGATTCTTCAAAATGTAAAACCATTGAACGAATCAAATGGATTATGCTTCGGTGCCATAATTTCCACGTAATCACGAAATCAATGTTACGAAATCAACAAATTTTCATTGCCCTGCCTTGGGGCTTTTCCGATTTCCTTCTTTTTTTGATATATGTTTTATTGGTTTCTCATTTGTTTGCCTGTGTTTTCAGGTTGGTTTCTTTGTGCCTCGTTTTCATGCCTCATGTATGTGTATGTATGGATGTATTTTATGACAATGTATTTATAACGATTAATACTCATAAAAATAGCCTCGGGGCAGCACAGCAACAGCAACAGCAACAGCAACAAGAGAATGGAATGGCGTTTTATTGAGTCAAAAGCCAATTAGCAACAGAAATTCTAGTTTTGTGATTTCTTTCAATTTTGATTTAGCTCTGATTATACAAGAACCGTCCTCATCCGAGTATTCGGTGACTAATTGGTTGTTGCTTAGCCTCCTCCTCTTGTATAATGAATTGTTGGGTCTTTTGTTTGTTTATGTAATTGAAAAGCCAAGGGGCGCCCCCCTCTCTCCTCCTTTGGTTTCCTCGATAATCGAGTCTGACTCATGACAAACCTTTTTTACCCAACGGCAAATAGGTTTTTCCTCGCTGTTTTTGGATTTTTTGTTAACAGTTTTTCATTTGAGGCCAAGTGGGCGCGACCTGAGCAGAGGTGGGCCGTGTCAGTGGCGGGGCGAACAAACGAGTGCGGTTGTCAGTTCGTCATTGGCAGCAGCAGTCACGTCGCATAATGCGTGCAACGTCGTGTCGTAACAAAGAGACAAAGACAGAGACGGAGGCAGCAGCAAACTGCAGCGTGGGCTTTTGCATCAGGCATGGAAGTGGGGGAAGTGGGGAAGTGGTGGTGGCGATTGCTATTTCGATGGTGAGTGGTGAATGGTAGTAATTGGTTGAAGCTATTATCAAATGTCGTTGACATGCAAGAACAGCTCATTTATTATTGGGAATTGTGGAACTATTCTGTTTTATGTTTCGGGAACTTCTCATCGATTAAATATAACTGGCAGAACACAAAGCACAGCGGGTAACGTCAACAAATAGTGCAAAAAAGCGCTTAGTAATGCCTTTAAAAATATGGCAACACGTAAGAGTCGCGCGAGGCGACTGCACCCGACCTCCGTCTCTCGCCCTCCCTCCCCCTGGGCCTGGCCGCAGTTGTGTTTTCCCAATGAGCAGATGGAAAAACGGTTTTGCACTCCTCACCACTCACCACCCCCGAAGGAAAATAAGAGAGTAGGAGCATGGAAGAGAGGGAGAGACTTGGTTTTGCGAGCGTTCATTCACATTAAAATTACACACACACACACACACACACACGCACACGCAAAGACAGAGCACAAGCACAAGCAGCATGTGGTGGCCTGATGTCGTAACGCACACAAAAAGAGCAACGGAAGAGCAGCACCTCGAATGTGTGTGGCAGGCCTGTGGCTCTCTTTAGACTCTTTACCTGCCGCTGATGAACGGAACCGCGCCTCCTTGTTGTTCCCCTAGGGGCGCTGCTGTTA